CAGAGCGGCTCACTCATTCCCAGCCGCCATCTTCCCCTAAAATCCAAAACCCATTATTTTTATATAGATGTATCATTTAGAGCCAGAAATACACAAATAACTTAAAATCTGAGGGAATACCAATCTTTGAAAAGTGATGCATTGGGGGTGGGGCTGTAGCTCAYTGGTGGCATGCTCGCCTTGCATGCTGGGTTCGATCCTCAGCACCACGTGAAAATAAATTAAAAATGAAGGCATTGTGTCYATCTACAACTAAAAAAAAGGGAAAAGAAAAGTTATGCATCATCAAATTGAAAAAATACCAAAATTATTGCACTGTGTATAATATAGTCATTATAGACTTATAAAAGGTAAATTTAATTATTAAAAAAATTTTGAATATTTTTGAAATTCTAYAAGCTAACCAGCTTCTGGTTTATATAAGAAGATAAGAAAAAATTTCTATAGTTTCTGAGTTTATTTAGAAGGATCTAGCTTATAGCATATGGAGCAACATTTTCCCCCTAGCATTTAGTGTATTTTCAGCCAATCAGTGTTTTTTCCCCTCAGTTTTTCTCTRATTGATATTACTTTCTTCATATAACTAAAACAGATGGTTCCATGTTCTTGCAAGCTCTGACTTCTTATTTTTCTCCTTTKTAGTAAAATTAGTATTTGCTCCATTATATTAGGGAAGTATCTGAAACATTACCAAACACAAATTTAAAAGTTAAATGATGGCACTATTAAATATTTGATATGCTTTTCTCTGGTATAGCAGACAATAATCCAACTTTAAGTTTATTCAGAAGTAGTCATTAGTGCATTATATAGATAAAAGTATAAAAATGTAGATCAAAGATATTTATTGACAAATAACTTAAATCACATTGAATTTTGTAAAGATGTAGAAAATAGGCAAAATCATATATAAGATAGCATATAGAAGTTTATGCATATACATAAAAATAATTTTATAACAGTCTTTGATGATGGAGGTGAGCAGAAATGTATATATCAGCAAATATTTGAGAAACTAACCTATGGTATGGACCAGTTGGTTTGTGATTAACACAATTCCTTCTCCTCTTGATATACCCTTATTTGGCAGTTTGGTACTCATGTCAGGAAACATTAGGAGGTAGTGATACCTCACAAATATGATTGCATATTTGTTAGTAACTTAGGACTAAATATTTTTCTCAAGCTTCTACATCTACTTTGTTTTTTGAATCCAGTTTGAGCCATAGTTTTTTTGCATGGTTACAACTCTCATCCCCAATCCCTAAAAGCTGCTTGTGTGTGATCTTAACACTGAGTATAATCTACCTGCTCTTAATATTTTTGGTCACAGAATGTTATCCAGCATTATATATCATACTCAGCAATTTGCCTTTGGGTTTTTTTTTCTACTTGCACAGAACTGAATAAACATTAATGATACCTTGATCATATATATCAGCCACTTTGGTAAATGATCTGTAAATAAGAACAGTTTTGCTTTTTCTTTACCAAGACTTATTTTTTTTCCTGTTTTATTACACTGATCACAACTTCCAGATCAGTGTTAAAATGAAGCAATGATAATAGACATCCTTGTCTTGCTTCTGATTTTAAAGGATTTACCATGAAGAATGGTGTGTTTTATTCATATCAGCAAAACAATTATAGACATCTTGTAAAACAAAACTAAACAAAACAGAGTCTTCCATCTGTGGGAATCCTTCCACATGTGTCACCTCATTCTGATAATTCTTCCTGAAGAGAGCTTGTACAATGATGCAATGTGCCGTACTTTTAAATTGAGCAGAAATTTGAAGGAGAATTTCAATTGCAGTAAGTTTAGAAACCAACCTTGGTTTCAAGGATATGACAGTCTGACTTTGTAATTGAAAAGTTTTGTGTGGCTCTGGTGAAATGAGAAATGATCTGGAATGTCAGATTAGAGGGAGACTGTTAAAAATTTACTRTCCTGTTTTACTGGTCCTGTCAATTCCAGTTTCACCTCTTAATATCTTTTTCAGAGTAGGAGGAAATCAAAATGGTCCAAAGCTTCTTTTGTCATATAAATTTATATGAGGAAAGTTGAGCTGAAAATATAATAGTAAAATGAAATTCATAGGAGGCTGCAAATGAGAGTTTTCTGRAAATGAAAATAATTTGATGGGCTGTAGAGCGCTCAACTAGCATGTGCAAGGCCATGGGTTCGATCCCCAGCACCATGTAAAAATAAAATGAAGGTATTGTGACCAACTACAACCAAAATAAAATATTTTTTAAAAAAAAAAAAAACAATTTGGTCCTTGCTTCTTCCCTCACTCTCTTTCCCATTTAGTTAGGTCAATATTGTATTTTTAAAAACTTGTTGTGGAGCAGGTCCCACAGAAAACACAAGTCCCAGTTTTGTCCAAATTGAAGAGTTTTTATTTAGCTGGCTGGCCAGTGACTGCCACCCACAGGACCCATAACTGTCTCTGCAAGGAACAGCCCCGAGCCTGAACATTTTAGGATATTTAAAGGCAAAAAACCATCTGGGGTGATGTAGCTGCAAGCAAGCAGGTACAGAAACTGAATTAGGCAGTGAGCAAGACAATGCAGTGGTACATTGGTATTTCCCACTGGATTTTCCAGGTTGGCACAGCAGCAAGCAAGCAGAAGGGAAGTGGGTCAAAATGACCCTACTTCAGTACAAGTTAGAGAATGGCAACCAATCTCTAACAAGGTATATTGCCCAGGAAAAATGGAAACCTAAGAGAACAGTTTTATATTGTATAAGAATTGTTGTTTTGTGTTGCTAAGTATGCTATGCTGCATAACTATTAATGGGTACAGTCATGGGGCTTTCCCATGGGAGAAGCATTTCTTACATGATATGGAGTCTCAGAGTAAAATGGAGTCTGTTTGGTCATTTCCCATATAGCCTGGCCCATAATAGAGTGTCCTTGAGAGGGGGCAGAATATACTATTATCCCAAGTATCGTTAGCACTTTTCTAATTTAAATATGATATAAAAATGTGTTTTGGGTTGGGAGACAAGTTGGTACAGGTTAAATGACTGGGCATCTGGAAACAATTGTGTTTGATTCTTCCACCAGACAGATCTGAAAATATGTCATTTGCTGGTAAGTGGGTGGCAATGAAAAAAGAACATCATGCTAAATAAAACAAGATTCAGAAAGTTATGATGCACAGAACTGAATAAACATTAATGATACCTTGATCATATATATCAGCCACTTTGGTAAATGATCTGTAAATAAGAACAGTTTTGCTTTTTCTTTACCAAGACTTATTTTTTTCCTGTCTTATTACACTGATCACAACCTCCATATCAGTGTTAAAATGAAGCAATGATAGTAGACATCCTTGTCTTGCTTCTGATTTTAAAGGATTTACTGATTTTGAAGGGTTTAATGTTTTCTCTCATATGTGCATAGTAGACAGAAAAACTTAATGAAAAGGCGGCTCTTATGAAAACAGGGGGATTAGTAGAGTAGATGTAGGGGACAAGGGGAAGAAGGTAGATCACTCCTGGTAAGGACATGGGCCTCATGAGACTATTCGCGTTCCAATTTACTATGATTCCAAATGTTGTTTGGATTTTTTCTTATAAAATATTAACAGATAAATGCAGAACTTAACAGCTAAATCCTGCGTTGGTTTTTTGCTCTGTCTCAATACCAAAGTTTACAAAGCTCTTGA